AGGCTCAAAAATTATACGATTTTTAAAAACTTATAATCCATTTCAAGTAAAAAAAACAAAGACGCCGAGTCGGGAAAGCAGCTCCTTGATACAGGGAGATCATCGCTCTGGTGATAAAAAGCGTATTTTTTTCTATTTAGGCTTAAAATCCACTCAAAAACCTTATAGAGCCTAATTCACAGCACATAAATATGTTATCAGGTTCTTGAACCTCCGAAATTCATGTAAAAACATGCAAAAGAGGCATTTTTGGTGCAAAATGGCTCGATTTTTATTTGGCCCCGCGGATTCCGACACAGTACGCTCGAGCCCGACATTTATCCGGTGGACAAAATACCGTAGCGGACTGACTCGAGCCATTCCTGACGAGCGAGGCTTTTCTCCTTTTTCTCATCGCATTTGATTTTCCCTCGTCCCGCTTTCTTTCTCACTTTCGCATCTTTTTGATTTTCTTTGCGTTATTTTGACGTCCATCCTTTCGCCTCTCTCGGCTTTTTGCCTTCACTCGTTATTTTTGTACCGCCTGTCCTTCTTTTACTCATATTTAACGTTTCAGCCACTGGTTCTATGTCGTCTATCGTGCCTCCGACCTCTGTCCAGCGCGGGATGCGTGACGGCGATTGCTACGGCTACGGACATATCAATTCGTCCCTACGCACAAAGTACCGTTTTGCTCTTCGATAAATACTGTCCTTTAGTTTTCCCAACCCCGTCGATGCAAATGATCACTCCGGATGCGGTGCTCGCCTGGACATGAATCGAAGTACGGACGTCGAGGGCAGCACTAATGGCTCTAGCCACATCCCATCGCTTCTCGAGGGCAAGGTGCAGCCGATGAAGAAGGGCCCTTCTATTCTGCCGAATCCGCACGACGAGACCATTCTGCAAGGCCATCCTGCTTCGGTAATTGCTTTCTTTGTGTTTTAGTTTATTGCTTTAGGTGCATCCCACTCGTCGCACACCGAATCACCAGGAGAGACCCTGACTGACGAGGAGCGCGAAGAAGCCATGCGAAAGAAGCGCAAGGAAGAGGCCTTCAAGACGGCCCCCTTGACGCTTTCCGTAAACCGGAAAGTGCTCATACGGCGATGTGTGCCGCTTGCTCATGGCGAACAGGAGCTGCGCCTGCCTTCCGTCCCGCGAGGCAAGACACATCCGAAGTACAAGACGCAGCTCTGCGACAAGTTTTCGTAATTCGGATGGTGCCCCTATGGACCTCGGTGCCAATTCATCCACAAGCTGAAGAAGGGTTGCTGTTGGTCGAATACGATCGCTTGGTGACTGCCGGACAGCTGTCTCCGGCCCACGATTCCGAGGTGGAACTCTTCGATCAGTCGCCCGTCAAAGCGTGCGTTTTCTTTATCAATTTTATTCCTCTTTTTTATAGTGGTTGTTAAGACCTTCGTCTGGATGTCCCTCCCGCCGGCCATGCTCAAGAACTGTCACGGGCGCAACATCCGTGAGCGTAGCTCACCTGGTTCGGCCAACCTATCGCAGTCGTTGTCTTCTCCTGAGGTACACTTTCTTAGCTGGCTGTCAACTTTTTACAGGGTCAATCTGACCAGATCAATGCCGATGTCGTCGAAGGCTAATCGACAGGCTCAGTGCGCATGCTGCAAGAAAGCAGTCCTCCGCGAAGAGGCCGAAAGCGTGCTGTTGAACGTCGCGGGCTCGAACGCCGTCGAATTGCATTGAAGCTCGGCATGTCCAGCTCTGCCATGAAGAAGTATGTTTTCCCTTTGCAGCAGTTCATCGGTTTAGGTTCGAGTCTGCTTCGGAAATGCATCCGCATTCCATGTACGACAGCGATGGGTCTAGCCGTCGCCAGAGTTCGCAAGAACCGGAGTTGTCGCTGATCAACGAAGAGCACGAGCAGTTTGATGTGAGGTTAGTAGACGCTCTCTCGGCTTGTATCTTTTTTTTAGCCACGACGGCGGCCACTACATGACGCGGCATGCTGGGACCACCCCCTTGATGACCCGGCGCAGCGACAACGGCCATGGATGGCAATCACCGAACAGTCGGGCCAGGCAGCCGCAGCTTCGCGCTATCACCGAAGACCTCGGCGCAGAAGGAAATTACCCCATGGAAGCCCCTCGTTCTTCCATCGATTTGCCGATGTTCTTCGAGTGTGAGGAGCCTGTCGAGTTGCTGGCCCGTCGTCTTTCTACCGCAGAGTAAGAAATCTTTCTTTGCCCTTCATATTTTCATTCTAGTCTGAACCGTTCTGGCGACCCCTCTCAGCTGGCCCACGATCTCTTCGACGAACATGGTCACCTTCGCTTCTAGCAAGCCGTTCAGCATGCGGGTGCCCAAATTTAATATCTAGAATCTGTACAATGCTTGTACCATTTCCCTCCCATTCTGTGCCATATCCCTTCCCTTTCTCAGTCTGTATCGAGTTGTCATATTCTGTGTATTGTCATTTTTCCGGTTTATTTTCCATAATAAATTGTTTTTATGGTCAATTGAAAGGTATTTGATTCATGCCTGGATGCACCTCCACACACAGTTCGTTGGCGTTGACACCCCTACAAAAGTAAAGGAAGCACTTTCCTGAAAATTAGCGCAACATTAGATAGAAATTTCGCACCGTGGAAAAAAGCGTATTAAGCTTCTCGCATCGTTTAGAAAGTTTCCGAGATGTTTTCATAGCGATGTGTTTGATTTTCGCGTATT